TCTCTCTCTCTCTCTCTCTCTCTCTCTCTCTCTCTCTCTCTCTCTCTCTCTCTCTCTCTCTCTCTCTCTCTCTCTCCCTCAATCCTGTTACACATCTCTACATCCATATCTTCTTGAAAGAGTGACCTGAGGCCAATGGTCTGACTGTGCAGCTGTTCAGCAAAACGCATTGTATGATAACTTGCCACTGCTAGAGTGAAAAAAGGCATTTCAGCAACTACTACTGTGCAGCAACCCGTTCAGCATAAAAAAGAACACGGAGTGGGTGACAAAAGGCAGAACGCAATTACCGGCTCTGGGAGTCCATCATCATCCAGCTTGGTGTAAGCATAGGGAGAAAATTTCTGTCCGGGTAAGCAGCACACACACACACACACACACACACACACACACACACACACACACACACACACACACACACACAGATGCCAACATGCGCACATACCCAAGCACAACGGCACACCCACAAAAAACAAACAAACAAAAAAAAACAGGAACTCGTCATTTACGAACCTAAGGCATTTCAGAATTTCATCGCTTGAATCATCGACTGACATATTCTGTGTTCCCTATCCCATTGAGTCTTGGACTTCCTCATCTTTTCCTCTGAAACGGTTTTCACCTTTGCAGTGACGGATGCAGATCCAGGGTTCGATCCCTAGACCTTACCTCACCCGTGTACAGTATTAAGTCAACCCCGTGTGTTTTGAACCCGCGACCTGTGTTTTGGTAGTTGAATGTAGGCTGTCGTAGGTCTGTGTAGCGGCCGGAGCTTGAACTGTAGACCTGTCGAAGTAGGGGTCCTACCTGTGTAGCGGTCATAGTAGTTGCACCTCTGAAAGGTCAAGGTCGTGGCTGCTACAGTCCCGAAAGGCCAAGTCCACAGACTTCCGGAAGGTCCGGAAGTGGCCTTTCGAGTTTTTCTCACGTTAGACCAAGGAAAGTAGGCAAGTGGGTAGTCCAACTTTGCTTAGTCAGCGGTACCCAGTCCCAGTCTCACTTTGTCCAGTCAGCAAGTACCATGTGGGACTGTGTGCACCATGGCCCCGGTGGAAAGGGGCAGACCAGCGACTTACAGAAGTATAAATCAAGAGCCAGCATGCAGCCATTCATTCATTTCTGCGTGAGCCATGCAGAAGCGCTGGCCTAGCGTCTTGTGCGAGGTGGTCTGCAGATGCCCGAAGTCGAAGTGGGCTGAGGCGGAGTTAGAGCAGCCATCGCTGTGTGTGCGTGGGAGATCCAGAGTTGAGTGTGTGCGAACGGTGGTGGTGAATACAGTGTCGGACGAGTGAAGTGTGGGCGCTCAGGCGCCATAGACAGTTGAAGCGAGTTTATATCTGAACTGTGTTCTCGACAGCAATATGCCTGAGCTTTGTGTGGGCGCCTGGCACCAGTGTGGTTTGCCATCTGTTTGTATGCATGCGAAGTGAGAAGAAGACGAGTCTGTTTGCACCTCGGAGTTCTGATTCTTATTTGGTGGGACCAACGAGTTAGGTGCCCAAGTGGTTAACAGGCAAATGCAGCATGACCCAATCATCCATATCTGCCCATTTGTTGAACCGATCAGAACAGATACTCCACTTTATCTTTGCCAAAAGGCTGACAAAGGTATCCGTACCTATTATCTGCCCATCGACTTCCATTACTTCCATTCCATTTTCCATTGCCATTGGGCAGTTTCTTTTTTTTTTTTTTTTTGTTAGTTTGCTACTTCCTAGTTCCATTACAACTCATCCTGCCTGATTCTAGATCCACTGCAACTCGTCAGTTTGCCTACTGCGAGAATTGTGGTCCAAAGTCTCTGAACTTAACATATTATATATATTTTCAGGTTTATTGTATATTATCACATATCTATGAGCCAAAAAAAGAGCGCACTTTGCGAAACGAAGTCCAACAAACAGTCAAAAAATAAAACAAAACAAGATCGACATGAAGGGCACACTGAAACAGTGAAACCATTCATTTTTCTCATTCTACTCTCAACTCAACTCCCCCTTCACCATGACTCTTAATTTCTATTCTGTTGCACTGTGGTTGCCCTGGACCTTGCCCAGATCTGGCCTGGCCATGCCACCCAGACAGCCCAGCTGGTACTGCGAGGACCGAGAAGGGCAAGGCCAAAAACCTGGAGAGCAGCACACACCCGCTCCACAGACGACCGGCAGAAGTATGTAAGGAAGGGCAGGATGAGTGGAAGACATCCAAGGAGGATGGTGTTTGACAAACAGACCGCTAGGCGTTCGTGACGAGCTGTCCTAGTGGGACGAAGGAGTGCCAGCCATAGCCAGGATGAGAGAGAAAGATGCCACAAGGCTTGTTTGGCAGAGCCACATATAGTATCGGACCGGTGGAGTCATGTGTGGTTTTAAGAAGGATGGCGCCGGAAGGGCCAGCGCCATTGCAGCTGCAGGAGCATGCCGGGACCATAGCAGGTTGGGCACTGGTGAAGAAGGCCCGCGCCATAGCAGCTTGCATGCTGGAGCAGAAGGCCAGCACCATAGCTGTGTGGTGCCAAGAAGGATGGCGCCGGATGGGGAGATGCATGAGGGAAGAGGAAAACCATGGGTACTCACAACGGTAGTCGACAAGGAGGGGCGCTCCAACGTGGCAGACTTTTCAAGCAGCCATCAACAGGAGGGAAAGCCTCACGGTACTCTGTGGCAGGGGATGATGTGTTATAGTATGGAGTGGTCACTTGCGCCGGTACGGAGACCGGCCAGGGCGGAGAACTAGTATTGTTGCTGTTGCTGTGTGGATGTTGGGCATGTGGGAGTTCAAGCTGCTTAGGTTCTCCAGAGCAGGTTCCTTGCAGTAGCCTATCGGTAGTTGCTTGTGGGCGAAATGACTTATGATCACCTCTCTTCAATCATTGGCACTGTTCATCTTCATTCTCCTACCTCAGTTGGCATAAATGCCCACTCACCTTGAATGTGTCGCCGTCCACAGGTCTCTCAAACACCTCCAAATCTTCTGTACTTTTGTCCTTCTGTGCGGCTGAACGGCTGGGTGGTGCCTTGATTGCCGTATCCCTGCAGTTGGGAAGAGAGGAACAAAAGGCATTAGGAACAGCGTAACACCCAAAAAGCAGAGAGGAAAACCTGGCTTCGCGTCATATGCGAATGTCAGATATCAGGGGCTTCACCCAGACATTTAAAAATCACAGACCTATTAGAAAAACTGACTCACTTTTCATTTCATATTAAAGAAAAAGGACAAGAATGGGTTGAGTCGTTCATTCCCTCCTGCTATTAGAAAAACTGACAACAAAGAAGAAGAACGACACCAACAAAGGGTTGAGTCGTTCATTCCCTCCTGCAGTTCATGAAAGCTCAGCTACCAAAATTCCAGCTGACCTCCTGTGTGTTGTTGATGCGTATATAGCGCAAGAATGGTTCATTCAAACTATTTGAATCATAATCCGATGTCCCTCTTCTTTTTTATTCTCTGTTGGAGAACATTTTCGGATTTTCCATGATAAGGCTGGAAACCAGGTCCAGCCTCCCTTACACAGGAAATTGCACTCCACGCTTCCTTCCAGTATGGCTGAAGGACACTGCGACAGCGGCATTGATTGCTCCTTTTACAGGACAACGATTTACCACTGCTCAACCCCTGTTTGTGGATCTCCTCGACAGTTCCTCTCAGTCTCTCAGGCTGTCTGAACTAACTTTGTGCTTCTAGAACTGGATAGGCCATGACCAGTAGAGACTGTGTAAATGGCTTTGAGTGCCTACTTCGGGGGATGCATGCATATGCCAACAACAACTGGAAGCTATGTACCTTTACAGGTGTGATTTTGACTGATTTCTCTAGGTTCACTGCGGTATATCTGCTGTAATTTTGACCCTCTCTCTCGAATGACTGGGGTCGGGTCCTGAGTCGTTACGGTTCTGGCTCATTTTCCATTCTGGGGAGCACCAGTCCGGTTCCTATTCCACCGGCAAGTTGGAATGAATTACACATGACTACTCACACACCCTCCTCCCCTTTATGGTTGGAAGGCCCGACGGACGGCATTGATTACTTCCCTTGGGAAGGATGTACCACCCTTCATCCCTGTTCACGTTAGTCTGATCGACATACCTTTGGAGACAGCTGTTATTTGGACCTACGTCCTTCCTGTTTACTGTTTGTAACGCCCCCCTCTGGTGACCGTCTCTACCCTGTTCCTCTCAGGAGTCTCAGCCACATGGCCGTCTGATTCGCGTGAGTTGCTGGCACTGCTAATTTGGTTCCCTCCGCCTAGCATACTAAATCCTGAACCCTTTAGTCCTGGGCCTTGGAGTGACTTCATTTTCTGGCACGCTATCCTTGGTAAAATCGTACTGTTACACTAACTCCTTGGGTGTCTGTGGACTGAAACCAACCATGTTAAGGACTGCAAAAGACTTTTCCTACCCTGCTATTTCGAGATATTGGATGTATGGGGGTGAAAAAGACAGGTGAGAGGGTTTCGTGGGTAGTTGAAAACAGTAGTCGTCTATTTGTGGTTTTGTGATCCGAGTGGGAAGATATACTTTGATTAGGGTTTAGGGTTTTAGAGTACTTGTTCCGGGCAATATGAGTCAGAGGGTGGGTAGATGCTTCAGTGGACCTGAGGGTGGGTGAGGAAGGCCGGGTCCTTAGTCGGTCTTGAAAGTTGAAACGCATGTTATATCCAAATTTGACTACTGAGTAGTCTGAGAGTTGACGTGATGTTTGAGGTTCTTCTTTAGTCCTTTTTCCATTCCCACAAAATTTGTCTTTCACCCTAGAGTCTGCCTCGTTATCAGTGCAATCATGAATGCTTTTTCTGCATGCTATCACTCTTCATCATACCAGATTATGCCTCCCACTACCTCATTCGAGAGATTTGCTACCCATCCGTGCTTGTTTCAAAGACATCACCTATAATAGTTCTTTTTGAAAGGATGCAGGATTTTGATACACTGCACAATTTATCCTCACTCTCGCCAACAACTTCTTCAGACCATTGAAGACAGTTTTGCCGGAATATCCAACATCTTGACGCAAAACAAGTCTCAAAAGATGGGACTGCTCAGCTGTGCGCATGATGTCACCATCAAATACATATCTTCAACTTAGTTATTATGAGTCTCGAACACACAGCATGCCATCTTCAGTTCACCTGTTCACTAGCATGAACCTGGTCAGTATTTGTAGCTCATTATCCTTGTCACAAAAAACTTTAAGAAACTCGAGCATCACAGCAAGAAACTGCCATATAGGGGAATGTTCCACGATCTGAAGAGAAATCACCGTACTTGTACGATCTGAAAGATGTTGAACGAAAGAAGCCTCGATCAATTGAGGACTGGTTCATGATCATCGCATCCTCTTGGTTGTATCCACCATAGCAGCATATCGCAACAATCGCATTCTAAAAGAGAACCCACGACAAACAGTATGAAAGCAGAAAACATACACAGCAGTGAGAAAACTCTTGAAAGGTTCTCTCTATCCTTTACGACCCTTCTGCTTTTCTTCCTGCCAAAGCTGACGGGGATAGAACCCGCAACTTCCGCCTTGACAGGGCGGTGTTTTCATGGTGGTCTCCATCTGATGCACTTTTACACTTGGATCTAATGCACCAATTTCTGGATATGGATTCCATGCTTCCGTGACCTCCACTCAATTGGTTGCAGGATGCTGCACTTCGAGTGCAGCAGTGTTGCGCCATCCCAAGCGCACAGAAGGTCCCGGTTTTGACTCTGAAATCTTTCCTCGCTTGTCGTTGCTGGTACTTGGGTTCAAGTCTTGAAAACTGACATATTACAAAATAATCACCACGACAGACAGACAAATCTTTTTGGAAGCAGAACTCTTAGTAGCTCCCTAAGAACTCATTTGTCCCCATGGCAACACAAATAACTGCAGTTTCTTTTCGTATGTGGGCACCTGATGTATACGAGGTTTGAGGCTTAATTAGTAATTTTAACTTTTCTGGTGCGTGAGAAAGTTCAAATTTGTTATGCAACTGAAGAGCATGCCTTGGCCAAATGTGAGTGTGAAGTGACTCTTTACTTTGGTTGGTGGTGGAGCTAATGCGGCTTTGAGCTCTCCTACAACAGGTATTGCACTAGCTAAACTTGTAATTAGTAATTACAGTAGGTCCCGCAAAACTCATTTGTCCCCATGGCACCACATACCCAGTAAAAGCTTTTACAATCATTAATAATGATAAAATAAAATGACCACTCCAAGACACCACACTAATTCTTGCGTATTGGCATACCTCCCATAATAAAGACCACAAAAAAGATATGAAGATAAACCACAATCAAGAATAGAGTGAAACTTTCACACCCTTCTGGATACCCAATCAAAGTCGTTACAATCATTAATGATTAATAATAAAAAATGACCACTCCAAGACACCAACTAATTCTCGCGGATCAGCATAAGCACCCATAATAAAGACCACAAAAAATTATGAATGAAGATAAACCACAATAAACAATAGAGTGGAACTTTCACACCCTTCTGGATATAAGCTGGAGGAGCATGAGAAGATACTCCCCTCGTTGGAACACACTCCCACACATTACTCCACTCTTCATTGCCTTACAGCACACACTCTACCACACACTGGTCCTCTGATCAATTAACTACCATCTTCACCATATTAACATATAAGCCCGATGGGCATTGTATTCGTTTATAATGTCCAGATGTTGCATTTCAGTAAAGTGGTAGCAGCTTCAATGAGGCCCTAAAATTCACGTGGAAAAAAAAAAAAAAGAAGAGAAGTCTGATTCTTTTTTTCTTCCCCGTAATGCCAACAACTTTCATCTGAGGGTCCCTTCAGAATCCCTTAGCAAATTCAAAGATAAATAAGTAAAAATCTAACTGAAGCACACCCCTTCGAACCCCACTGTGTATACCTACTATACCTGTTTCAACCCCCTTTTAAACCTCGTGTATACCCCCTTTCCCTACACAGCACATTCTACCCATAGCACATTCAAATAGAACGCCAGGGCCAGGGCATTCTATTCGGATATAACGCCTGCACACTATACTCAAAATATATATTTTCGTCCTTCAGGGCATGCATTAAAATTGGAACAATACGGGACAGGTTCCCATGGCCCCTGCGCAAGAATGACACACATAAATCGAGATATAATTAAAAAAACAACGAAGAGATCCGACTTCCTCCAGTTGATGTGAACACAACCACCTGGCGTCATTTTCGGAAGAAGACCATGGCTCCCCATATCCACTGATGTTCAAAAGTCAGAAAGCTCACAACTCTAGCTGACGAAAGCTAGGACGCTGAACATACCAACAACAAAACCACCGGGCACAACTTCACAGCCGTGTAACAGCACCAGAAGACTCACGCGTCCAAGATTGTATATGATCATGAGCAGAAACAGTGTGGCACCCATCCACAACATTTTGCAATGGACGCGGATCTACCTGACCAGCCGGAAGTTGCTTGAAGGCAAGGTTCTCTGTGGCCCTGCTGCAAACAAGCGGCTTCTGTGGGTAATGGAGCACGTGAGTTACGGTGTCCTGGGGACGAGGAGCAATGACCGAAAAATGGCCAGGAAAAAAAGGCAGGCAACCAAAGTGAGTCAGAACAAAGAGTTGTGAAAATCTTGTGATCCTTAAGATAACGTGTAATGCAGAATCCTCACAAAACTTATTACTTGAATTATTTCCTCGAAAACTAGGGGGCTAACAGCCGCGCCACCTGGGTCACCTTGCCTCAGGGGGTCACATCGAAATTCTTCAAGGCTACGTGCCGGGCGGCCCGGGTCACCTTGCCTCAGGGTCACATCGAAATTCTTCAAGGCTACGTGCCGGGCCACCCGGGTCACCTTGCCTCAGGGTCACATCTGAAAAACAAACCATGTTACACAGGAAAATAAACTGAACAACTTTTGCCTCAGGGTCACATCGAACTTGAGGCCACATCGAAATTATTTACCAAATTTCAAAATAACAAATGAAGTTCATGTGTTTATTTTTATTTTCAATTTACTTTGGCCCGGCCGGGCAAGTGGTCCCGGGCCACTTTTGTAGCCTAGATAGCAAAAGATCATCACACCATTACTGATCTTTGCCAATAGTCTCCAAAGGAGAAACTCCTCGACACATTCATTATGAGATCCCCAAAACTTCAAAAAAACACAAACTGCTCCCTTTTGTTCCAATTGTACATTTTTTATTTTTCCTTTGATTTGTTCCCTCGCTTCTGAGAAAGATTCCTGCTCCAAGTTCGAACATTACAACACCAAACAATAATACGATCCCCTGAGGATGCCATTGGTACTAAAGATTGACAACGCAAGCCATTGTGAAAGACCCCTGGGGGGGGTATTTGGAAGACCTCAACTGAGGCAGACCTCAATAGAAGTGATTGGTTTGATCTTCCTACTCCCTAGGAAGATCTGGTCTACAGAACTCGCGCAGTACTAAGGAGCAAAGGCAAAGATATAACCAGGCCAGCAAGGGGGGTCCCTGCTTGGAGGGGGGGGACAAGTAAAACGAACTGACGAGGACTGTGCAGGGTCACACAGGTTCACTTAGGGCAATAGGACCCTAAGACTATGATCAACGTGGTCTAGCGGGTCTACAGTCCACCGTTCACATCGAGATGAGGGTCCTCGAACGTGCGAACATTCCAAAGGAGTTGCGAACCAGAGGAACTACCTTCTTCCCCCGAATACAACGTACGGTCATTATAGCCGTATTTGGGCTGTCATTCAGTCTAGATACAGATATAATGACCGTACGTTGTATTCGGGGGAAGAAGGTAGGTGTGGAAAGAAGCGTCTCCCGGCTTGGGGAGTGATGCTTGAGTGAGTGCACTGAGGGCCGGTCCAGCGCTCACAAGCAAGGACAGCGAGTCCTCACGGAGTTGTGTGGGTGTACAAGGTAGGGAGGGTGTTAGGGAGTTACGATGACCAATCACCCCCAGGCTCGTTGGTTCCCCCTCCAGCACCGAGATCCAGTCTGGTATCTCCAAGTTGCACATCGAAGACCCAGCTGATGTACGGGGGATTTCTGACAAACCAGAACCCTGGAGAATTATCAAATCTTAACTTTGTAAGTGTTTGCACGATCTTCTCTTCTTCTTTTTTGCTAAGGGCTGCCGGGTGGAGGATCAGACGAAAGGGAACAGAACTCAAGGAAAAGAGGCACAGGTAAGACGACAGAGAACATTAGAGAAAGAGGGGCAGAAGGGAGAATTGGAACGGGAGGAATTGAAAAAATAAAAGAATACATCCAGACCATAAAAGCTCAAACAGCCAGCATGTTCGAAATGAACATGGCGCATGTCAAAGAGGAGGAAAGAGAAAGGAGTGCAAACCGCAGAGAAGAAGAGATGACAAAGTACTACGCCCAGCAATACTGCAGGATAAACAAGGACCAAGCAAGGAGGCAACGAGCAAAAGAGGGAGAGGAGGGCCAGGGGTGAGGCGAGGATTGGAGAGAGGACAGGTACAAGATGCCTGAGCTTCCAGAAACATACACCAAGAGAAAGAAGGGGGAGGATAAAAAGATAAAAGTCCCCTAATAGGGCAAATGGGGAGAAGGGAAGAAAGGGGTCCAAGCTGCCAGAGTCCCAAAGAACAGAGGGAGGAGGGACACAGAGCAAAAATCTAGGGGGAAGAGGAAAAGGCAGAGGAAACAAAGAAAGAAAGGGAGATGCTCTTGCTTCACAATGGGCAGTGGTCAGATGGATGCAGAGGGCCAGTGGAAAGAAGGTGGCAAAGCAGCACAACAAATTTGTGCTGCACAACAAAATTTGTGTTCCATTGCGATGGGTTGTTCACTATCTGATGGCTCAGATCGCAAGTTAACCTGCGATCTGATGACGGGCTGGTGATCTGGCCCCTCAGCCAGGGCAGATGATCAAGATGGCCAACCAGTCCTAAAAATTGGTGATTGGCTGGCAATCTGGTACGTCAGCCAGATCATGGCCCAGATCCCCAGCTTATGACGTTGGGATTATCTCTTTATAGTTATAAGGGGAAACTGCAACAGCATTCAGCACTGATTTGGCCTGAACCAGGTGAGCAATCAGTTAAACAGATCAAAACCTCTTACGTACGCAGCTTAACGCAATTGAATGCAGCGGGTGTTGTGATGAGGATAAGCCTAGGTCCCTGCCAAGCTACCACAGAAGGAGAGCAATTAATCAAACCTTTAAACCTTGTGCAGCCTTAAGTGCGAATACAGCGGACATTTCCGACTGCAACTTCCAAGATTGAGAAGATGTTCTCAAACTCAAACCGTGTGCAGCCTTTTTTTAGTAGGGGAGACGATGCTGAACCTGGTGAGGATAACGACAGCGACACAAAAGCTTTCCGGCATCGAATAGCCAACACAATTTCGTGGTCGGACGTTGCGTTCCCGATGTGGGTCATGACGATTGCGTATCACGGTCCGCCCAATCAGCACTAATTCGGGGGTGCCTACCTCGTAGGACGATGTGGTGGATAAATCCACTAGGGCTATGTGGCAAACGGTGTTCAGCTACAGGTAAAAACCAGATGTATGTAACCACGGGATGTAAGCAACTTAGGTGAGAATGCAGCGGACATTTCTAACTGCAGTTCGAAGATTGAGAAGATGTTCTCAAACTCACCATGCGGTGCTGATAGCTTGTCAGGTAGAGTCCCATTGCCTGCTTTCCCATTGCACATTGGTAAGTGTTCCGGGGGGCCTAAGGCAAGAAACAAATGGCCATGCCACATCAAGAAGCGCCCAGAATGTCAATTCACAAAATACAAAACACCAGTTTAAAGAACAAAACTTACAAAAGCTTAAAAGGACCTGTCAAAATGTTTAGCATTAGTTTAGCATCCGATCCTTTGTCCATAGAATCACTTAGCATTAATATAGCATCTGATCTTTGGTCCGTAGCATCACTTGATAAGGGGAAAAAAAGCCTCCAAGATCATCATGGCAGGTGTCTGAAGTTATTTCCTAGCCAGTCTCTGACATAGACAGCGGTACAGCATCGTTACAGTGGCTGTATTGACTCGTGTTTTCCCTTTTCCAGCCCGGAACAAAGAAATTGTGGGAACCCGGAACCCAAAAAACAAAAAAAAACATCCCCGTCACTTTTTTCTTTCTTTTGTAGAGAGATCGGTCAGCCTCCATGAAGTTACTAACGGAGAGAACGGGAGTGGCGAAGGGCAGAGGCGGCACATCTCTCTCTCTCTCTCTCTCTCTCTCTCTCTCTCTCTCTCTCTCTCTCTCTCTCTCTCTCTCT